CATGGGGGAAATGTTTTTTTCAGATTTTTTTTAATGATGGAACCATGGCTTTGTAGCTATGATAACTTTCAATTCTCTAAATTTTTCCGCATGTCAAAGAAAACATTTATTGATTCAGCAGAAATGATGAAAAAAGAAATTAGCAAAACCGTATACAGGTGGATATCATCTAGTGAGTTTATATGGCCATATTTTAATATTCTTGTGGTATATGGCTACACAGGATACTTTGTTAAGCATAGGAACTACATTTAAAGTGTCCCCAACAACCGTAATGAATATAACTAATAAGGTGCTCCACTTTATGGTAAAACTGAAGTCAGCCTGTATCATTTTTCTCAAAAATGAAGCTGAAGTACAATAACAATATCCAATACCCGCCAAAATTCTAACTTGTCACATTTCAAATAATAACCAGAAATATAAAACTACTCTTGAGTTGGGTAAATACCACAATTTTGCGGTGATAACTATGACATATAACAGCTGATTCGTGACGTCACGGATCTTATAACCAAACTGATAACTACACTCGCTTGAACGGATTGGTAAATACCATTTCCATTTGGTTATCCGCTTGAATTTGATTTATGTTTTGACTTCAGATCTGCCAAACTGAACAAAAGAATTTTACGCAACAGTAGTGTTCTCCATTGATCAAATTACATTGCCGACGTTTTGGATGCTCCAGCAGCCTTTTTAGATTACGACAAACAGCTCTGTTTACTTTCCGTACCGACGATCACTCACAAGGATTAAATGGTTGCGTATATGGAGGGTGAAACTATATCCAGCCTTTTCAGGACAAATAAATAATTACAACACAATCTTGGAAAATTAGGAAATGTACTGTATAATACGCCAAGTACACGTTGACACCACGTGAACAGTAAATTCGATAAAAAGGTCCTGATTTGTTAGGTGTTTCTATACGGGTACAAGTTTCACTCGTTATGTTGACTAGAAACCAAATTTCATTGTTTGGATGAAGAAAATATGTCAATTTCCCTACTCAAATGAACATACCTATAAGCTTCAATCCACATCTCACGCAGTTGGCGTACTTATGCCCAGTTGCACCGCCTTTCTCAAATCTATATCTCACTTCGATGTGGTAAAAGTCTAGCTAAGATAAAGCTATGCATGCCAACAGTGTATCTGAAGCAACTTTTTAGAGACATTGCTTCTACAACTACAAATTTTTTGGTTGACTGGATTGTATACATATTTATGAAAACTGAAAATCTATCTAATTTTGTCACAGTTTTCGCACTGTATCAATAAAGGATATGAGGAAAAATATTCATAGAATGTTGTATTTGTGAACTAATTTTATTTATTGAAAATAAATTGAACAAAACCAACAGATAATTTAAAACTATATATTATTAACAATTGAATAAAAATATTTGTTATATTTTTAAACTACAATAAGAAACAAAAGAAAAAAAATTGTTTATAATGTATGGCGCATATTAGTTGGACTAAACGTTTTTGAAAAGTTACCACTGAGTGCAGTCACCTTTTCGTTTTAATACAGCGTCGATTTTTCTTGGCATAGTGTCTACCAACGTTTTGCAGTGTTCTGGTTTCAAATATCCCAAATTTTCTGAAGTTTCTGCCTTAATTCGGGAATGGTGCGGACTGGAAAAGTTCGAAGCGCTTCTTTCATTTGGTGCCATGCGGACTCAATTGGAGATAAGTGGGGGCTACTAGAATGCCATTTTAGGACAAAAACACTCATTGCCTATAACCAGGATGTTCAGCTTTTAGCTGTATGGAATGCTGCACCATCCTGCTGAAATATCGCTCCATCTTTTCGTAGTTGACTCATGGAAGGCAGCAATTCTCCTTGTAAACAGATTTTATATTTAGCAGCATTAACGGTACCAACAATGAAATGAAGACGCCCACTCCTTGTGAAGACATGCATCTCCATACCATTACAGATGCTGGAAATTTAACCTTTTTCTTGAGAGAGTCGGTGTGATATTCTTCTCATCGCATGCGGATAATGCTGCTACGTGAATCGCCAACACATACTTCAAACATGGATTCGTCACTCCAGATAACTGAATCCCATTGACGTTGTACTCAGTTTTTATGCCCTCTTGCCCATAGATGTTGGTTTTATTTTTGTTTTAAAGAAAGAAGTGGCTTTTCCTTCGCCTAAAATGATAATTAAATAAGCTTGAGCAGTCTTTGATACCGACAACAGTCACAACTTGCTCTGTAGCATAAATATTCCATTTTTTTAATCGTTCTTAAACAAGTAGCCTTTGAAACCCTTTTACCAATCGCATGTGACCATTTTACAGCTATTTCCCTTGATGCAGTTCTGGGATCTACTTTAACAATTGCACGAAGAGCACGCTCATCTCTTTCTGTAATCTTCTAATTTTTGAACCAATATTTTCATTTTGTTTAAACAGTGAGATAATGTTTCTTGCTGTTCCTTGAGGAATGCTCAGATTTTTTGCAATTTTATGCTCAGAATTTTGCATATCGTCGGACAACGCTTTTCCGCGAGCCGTCTTTACAACTAAACGTTAAATTGACATCTCTAGGAAAACATTATACTATTCAATTGTTTTTCCAAGGCCCGGCTTAAATAAAAATCCGATTTCGCCGCGTAAACATTTTTTTGTCGTATTGCACGATATGGTCCAACTAATATGCGACGGACATCATACATTTTTTTGTTTTTGTTTATTATTGTAACTTAAATATATATTAAATATTTCAGATTAGTTGTTAATACTACATAGCATCAAATTATCTTGGTTGTTTTTGTTCAAGTTATTTTGAACAAATGAAAATGAGTCAGCAAGTACAAAATTCTATAAATAAATTTCGTTAGTCCAACTCATATGCGACAGGGCTCGAATGGTGGTTGATATACTTGATTATTGTCATCATTATTGTAGGTACATGATATATCCTTATCAATCACGAGAAATAGTAGCCTGTCACCAATTAATGAGAATAAAATGGATGATGATAGATCTTCGAGAATATGTGTTGTTTTCATAATTCAAAATATTCCGCTGTGTTACGGATATGGCAGGAACTTCATTACACATCAGATTTGCTTCATCAAATTTCGCGTCATCTATTTCTATACTTCAACGCTGAAACATAAAGTTTTATTTAGCGATACTAGTTTTGCACTGGTACATTTTCCATGTTCCTTTGACAAAGCGAGTGTTTATATTCATCTTCTTTTGGTCCGCACTTTAAACTGGTTTTGCAAAACTACTGCTTACGGTGTAGGCTGTCAGAACTGTCACAGTTTGCAGCATTTGTTTGTATGTTACGACTTTCAAATTCAGTATAGAACAAACATCGGAATATGAACAGAAAATGCTTGCATCATATTCGCAGGGAAAAGCTTCCTCTTGTAGATTGTTTTACAATCTCGAGACCCTCGGTACAAAGGAGTGGCCAGTTCTGAATTTACGGAATTCGATACGGTTAGAATCTGAAGCCGAAATCAGACGGTTCTGTCTGGCAGGCACATCGCGCGGCGGTATTATGGAGGAGAGCTCTGAATAGCAAGGACCATTGGTGTAGCGGTAGAAGAGAGCTAGATCACCGACGGCCCGCCGCGCGCCGGTGCGAAAGGGTCCCGAACTGTCTGTAAGAGAGTCATCGATCAGTCAAACAGCCCTCCTCTAGACAACATCGAGCATATATAATGTAGCCGTGTGAGCAATACTCGAGGCTAGGTCTTACCTAGATCTTGAATAAAGTGAACGGATCATGCGGAGAAAAGTACTTCTTAGCCCTAAACAAATAGCCTAGCTTTTTCCCAGCAGCTGCCGCTATTGACGAGGTCAAGTTCTCGGTGATCTGGACTACGACCAGCCGTCGTGCAATACAGGAGGTCGTTGATATGGAAGAGGAAAAGTGGCGAAGCCAGGACCGATCCCTGGGGCACACACGCGTCAACGTTGTGGGATGAATAGGAGAACTTCATGATTTCTTCTTACACAGAAATGTCTATGCTAAGATACAGTAATATTGTACCATTTCATTGGAATGTGGCGGGTCTACTGCAGAATATTTTCAATATTTATAGTGCCACTTTTATAAATAATGATTGGTATATTAACGTTTCTCTAACTTTCAGGATATTCAGGTTGCATAGTTGGTGCTACAATAAACATACATATAAACTAAGCCAACATATGTAGCTGTAAAGAAGATTGATCAATATTCACTGGCACACAGGGAAAAATCCATGATGCAAGGGTTGGTTTTTAAGATGTCGCAAGATTAGCATTACCTCAAATATGTGGTAGCAGATAAATCATAGGAAGTAATGCATATTCTCTCAGAATTTATTTGTTAACTCCCTATAAAGGTTTTTTAACTTGGATGAGGGGCATCAGAACTCCAAGAAGAAACTACACTACTCAACGGTGTTAATATAAAATACACTTGGTCTCCTGAAAGGGCGATTCAGGCAGTTACGTCGAGTAAAGTAGATGTATATTCTGGTAACAACATTTATAGCAGCCTATTGCGTATTGCTCAATTTATGTATAGAAGATGGTGATCTATTTGCGAGGAAAAGGGTAACGAATTAATCAAAATGGAATTAACAGAAAATGACAGATGTTATATGCTGTTTTAGGGTCAAATTTTAGGATGACCTAGGGTAGAGCGTTTGTAGCACTGAATCTGCTGACTTTAGGGTTGTCAAAACCAAAGACAATTTCACGTTAGAAACTGTACCATCAGGAGAGGAAGTGTTCGACTTTGTGATCTTCTACAGAAGTTCACTCGAGGCTTGGGTAAATCAGGTTTGTTGAAACTCGACCCTAGCAAGACGATGTAATTAGTGAAATAACGTGGTTAGTAGTGTTAGTACATATAAACATTCGACAACCCTACCAAGAGGCAAGTGAGGTCAGCACCTGCAATTACTGTGAAACTAGTTCAGGCAGAGCCTAATGTACGAAATAACTCAGCAGCACCTGACAGTGACAAACAGAATGAACGTAGCACATCAGGTAGATGGTAGATATATCTGCATACCTATGTACCTTAACATATTATATATAATCCCATAATGCAGCCGAAATGCGTCTATCAGCTCCCAGTTCCATTTCCATATATAACAGGATTCCGTTTTAATATTGCAGTGCTATTGTCTGTGTGTACAGTCAGTTATAACCTGCTGATGGGTTAGTCAACGCTATACGCGTGTGAGAAATAGGACAGCTGATGGTATTATTCACCGTCATAGTAATTTGCTGTACCGTACGTAGGGTATTACTCATGATTACTTCCATGTCACACTACCTGACAAATTTCAGGCGAAATGGCCTCCATCATATCACTCTTCCGGTCAATACCTAAATGTAGACTTCGACCGGATATATCTTCAATACATTTATCCTAAACTTGCCTAGAATGGCTTTCATTGTTTTCATTCCCATGACCATGGTTAAGGGCTGTAGTCCGGGATCTCACAACAGCGAAATAATATAATAGTTTAAGGGCAGATTTTACTATTTAACAAACCATTATTCTGCACCAATAGGGTACGAGTACCAAACAGACAGTCTAATATACCCAATCAGCCTCAAGATCTCTCCGTCAAATGTATGGCAGCAACTAGCATTAAAGTATTCAAAACAAAACACCGTAAAATATGAAGTGACAGCTTGTCATTGAAATGTTTTCAGTCTATTAAATCAAATATGAAATTATATAAAACTCAGCCACAGTTTTAAAAAAATGCTTGATGTCTGAGTAAAATCCATTTTTTCAGTTTAGCTGAAGGTATCTCCATATTTATTCGAACTTTTGTAATCCATATTTTATTATTATATTGACTTAATATCATCTATCGTGTGTTTGTAGTTTATCCTACATTTGCAAACTTGCACTTAAAAACCCTTACATGAAAAAGAATTTTCACTAAAATTTATGTTATGTGTTGCGTTTCATCACATTCATACACTCCTTTCCAGTTACTCAACGACATTTTAACACCACTGGTCCGAAACTGTTCAAGATTTTCAACATTCATTTTTTGTTTCGATTTCAGTGTATAATCAGTCGCACCATCGGTGATGGTACATGGTACACTCGTATTTGGGGGTTAGCGCAGATTTAACGTGCACACGATAGGGCAATATGTAATTCTGCACAGAAAATCTTGAAGGGAGCACTTGTTATACGCAAACCTGTTCTTCCGAAATTCCATTTTCCATAAATAACACAATTGACCTCAAAACATAGACTACAGTGACGTGGGAGAAAGAGAATAGACCAAAGAAGATCGATCATCGATGACAGGATGCAATGGATGCGCTGTGTTGTCATATTTCGCCACCTGAGAGGTGTATAGTATAGTCACATATCGTGGTTGACTGGTTTTGAAGTATATTAACATATTAATCATACACGCTAGAGCTCAAAAATTTTATTACAATGAAAATAATTAAATAAGAATTCTATTATATATATATACATATATATTTCATTTATTATGTTGTTTTTTAAATACTGTTTCAGTTACAGTTTTGTTCATTTGTCGTTTTTGATTACTTATTGTTATTATTTATTCACTCATTTTAAGCAAATATACCTTTTTATTTGTTTAATTTTCAATGTCATAAAACTATTTAGCTCTAACGTGTATAATTCTCATGTTAATACATTTATTTCAGTTGGCGAAATATGGCAACTCAGAGGTGTCAAAATTCGCATCCATCTCATCCTGTGATCAATAATCAATCTCCTGTGGTCTATTCTCAACGTCACTTGTTCTGTGTTGATTTTTGATGTCGAGGTACTGCTAGAAAACGGTATTTTGGAAAAATTAATTTCCATATAAAAGTCCCCATCCAAGATTTTTTTACTGCAGATTTTTCAGCCATTATCCATATAAATATTTATGTTTTAATATTGAGCAATTTACATTTGAAATTAGTATCTCATGATGTTAGTGCTGAGAGAACGCATTTGTGATTAGTGAAATGCATTTTAACGGTTCAAAAATATGAATGAATCGTTTTCACTTAATCTCGACTGAAAGACTGGAATATCCACATGTTCAGTCATTTTCGTCCACCGAACAGTATGCATGAAATGTCCCATCACTGTCCTATGAGTGATATTATAACAGCTTGTGCTATTGACATTGCGGTTTTAACATTCAAAGAAGCACTTACGAGTATTCATCACGATAGCGTAAATTGTTAATAACACATGCTATTATATCTCTCATATCCCACCAAATTCCGTTATACATATATAAAACTCAGATTTATATGTTGAGCTGGATACGTTGCGGGGTAAGTCAGGCTACTTGCCCTTGAATAGCGTGGACCGTGGAATTAAACTTCTTCAGTATTTGTGTTTTGTGTCATTGTGTCCCTGTCTCCACCAGTCAAAAAACTTGATCACCAATATTTTATTAGCTTTTTGGCTCTTCTTTTCGGTAATTACTGATAATTTTAGTTCTATGTCTATAGTAATTCCATTATGCGAAAAAGAGATGTAGGGGTAAGAGTAAAGATAACATGGCCACGCAAGAGAACTGCTGAAATGTATTCTACTAGACTCTAAAAGACTATCCGCAGCGAAATTTTCGCAGAAATCGTTGCACAACACTTAAGAAAATGTAAATGAAAATTGGAAAATTGCCGCTTTGATGATCTAAATGACTCCGTCGGTACCCCCGGGTAGACATCTGTCTTGACAGATAACCTTTTCATTCTTGTCACCTGGATTGCGGCGTTGCCAGCTCATCGGACGCTTTTGTTACCTCTTCTATTTTGATAGAATGTTATAAAAAATAAGTTTTTAATAAAATATTGAGGAATACCAATGGAGATATATAAAATTTCAGGCGTAGCAATGTTAATGTCTCTGAACAGTTTAGGAATGCCCAGTTTTATAGGATAAAAAACTTTTTGACAACAACTGAAAAAAAAACAATGTTTTATTATATAAATATATTTATTAGCTATTTGATCTAAGATAACATTTGCACCATATTTAGTAAACAGAGTGCCAGCGGCTTGGTGTCAAAGCACGGTACTGTCAATTATAGACTCACCAATTCCTTGGACTTAAAATAGAGATAGAGATAGAGATAGATAAGCACCAAACTAGGTTAAATTAAGTAATCATACAATCTTACAGCAAGCATTTGTTTGCAACGCCTACTCGAATAAAACGAAAAAATAGAAGAAAACACACGTTTTTTTATAACTTAAAAAAACAAATAATGTAACGTGGTACATCATTTAAGTCGTAGAAAAAGGTGCTATTAGATACAGGGTCGTACTTTCTTAAATGTTGTGCACTTCGGGCACATTTTAAAACACCATCATGTAGTGCGATTAGTTTTTTGACATTTCTTAAAATAAAGTCAAACAAAAGTAAAAACTATTTGGCCAAATTTTAGCTTTTTCCAAAGTACCTCAGTTTATGACTGATCTCAGTGTATGCAATGTGCGCAATTTATTTAAAAAACAACACTTCGTGTGTCGTTTTTCCCCCTCAAACTTTGTTTCCTCAGGTTACACCCGTATCCGGATGTATGGGCGTGTGTATCTACTTTTGTAGTTTCATGTGTGCATTCATTTCGGGCTTGATGAAGCCAACCAGCAGAAATACGAATCGCTCGGGTTACCTATACTATTTTCTGCTCGAATCCACTTTCCTCTTTTTTGCGGATTTTGCAAATTATTTTCTTACTTTTTGTTATATACCTTTCTCCGCATGATCATTTTTTCTTTGTAGATCCTTTGGGCTTGAAGTACAACAGCAAGTGGCTATAACCAGCCGCGTGGTTGTGGTTAGATGTCTCCTTGAAGATTCAAGGTCTTCTAGCCATTTTATACTACAGTGTGTAGGTTGTCTCTTGTTGTGGACTTCGTGTGTCTTTTTTTCCTCCCCATCTTCGTTTCCCCAGGCTACACCCGTATCCGGATGTGTGGGCATGTGTATCTACTTTTGCAGTTTCATATGTGCATTCATCTCGGGCTTGATGAAGCCAACCAGCAGAAATACGTATCGCTCGGGATACCTATCCTATTTTCTGCTCGAATCCACTTTCCTCCTTTTTGCGGATTTTGCCCATTATTTTCCTACTTTTTGTTATATATACAGGGTGACTTTGAAGTTGAGTCATTAATTTTCAGATAATGATTGTAGAAGGAAGATAAACCAAAATATGTGTGTAAAAATAAAAAAATAAATAAAAAAAAAATGTTACCTTGTTTAATAGAGTATCGTCCCGACAAGTATTTCAGTGCGGACCTGTATTTGATCGTGCGGTCTTGGAGCAGCATGCCCTGACCTGTGAGGTCTTAAGTCACCTGATTCACGAGTCCTTTGTACTACATTAACAAAGGCGCGAGGGGTTGGTTGCACTCGATTGGGAAACCGATTCGCATAAATCCGCGATGCATCCGGGAGCATTTTGTAAAGACTGCCCCCCCCCCCCGTAAATAAGAATCATGTCCACAAGTTCAGCATTTTCGTAAACATGTGCCATTTTTGATTTCGTTTGAGCCACGCAACAAACACTACTATTCACTAACGCGTTATCGACTGACGAAAAACATCGTGATAAACGTTTCAAATTCTTTCGCTTTTTTGTTTCCGATGCGATGAACCGGTCAGGCGGATTATATCCGTTGTCGCCAAACACGAACATATAATATTATTATTGAGACAGGCGGTACTCAAACTTCCAAAGGGCTACAACTTTGTTACTTTAATTTTACCAGAAAAATGGTAAAGGAAAAAAACATTTCTTTTGATCAGATCTACTCACTGTTAAAATAAATGACTCAACTTCGAAGTCACCCTGTATATAGGAATATATATATATATATATATATAAACTGTAACTCCGTTTCAAAATTGGAAAAATATATTCTTATTATCTTGAAAGGATCTGCATTTTCGTATTTCGTAGTGAGATTATAGGACACTTTGTATAACTCTGAGATTCCATATACGTCCCTAATACTAAACTTGGAGCGAAGTGCATCGGATGCCAACCATATGTTCTAAAAGCAGCAATTGATGCTGCACCGGCACGGGCTGATATTGTCAAATCTAGCGCGCAAATGTTTCAATACTACTCGTGGTTGTTTCTATCTGCGATCTGATGTTTACTATTAACATCAGTCGCTTAAACCGACTACATTACACATCAGGCCAGCATTGATGAAATATAGTTAGAATCGGATAGGTTATAGCTGAATGGTTGCTTACTGGCTTCCTATTCATAGATAAGTACAAATATTGCAATAATACAGGTAATGATTGCGCAATCTTTTGTGACTGCTGCCCGCTGCCCTTGAGATACAAGAAACAAACGTTTGATAAAATTGTTATATTCCAATATGAATAGTAGCTGAAATAGGTGCAGAATGGCAAGCCATTGTGCCACTGCTCTTGATATCACGAAAGAGCTCGATCAGCTGTGGCACGCTGCCGTCTTATGCAAGCTTTGCGAATAAGTGGCTGACTTTCTCTCTGGCTGCAAGATATCCGTCATAATTGACGGGTTCTTCTATTCATACCGCAACTCAACGCAGGTGTTTCCCGGGGATCGGTCTTGGCTCCGACACTACTCCTCTCACATATCAACCACCTCCTTTCTTGTACGATCAACCGGATCCACAGCTGATGACAGCACTTTACATGCCGGAATTCGGAGTGACAAGCCGACCTCTGCAGCTGAGCTGGAAAAAAGAAGATTAGCGGCGACTTCCTCTCTGACGAGAGACCTGGAGGTGATCACTGCTTGAGGTGCAACAATGTTCTACAGTTTAATGCTTCCAAAACACAGTTGTGTACCTTCATGAACAAAAAGCGTCCTAGCGCTCATCCTGTTTCTATGGATGGCTGAGCTGGACTCCGACCAGCCATTTTGGCTGGTCGGAGTCCAGATCACCGAGAACTTGATCTGGCATGAACACATCTCGTCAATAGCGGCAGCTGCGGCAAAAAAGCTAGGCTATTTGTTTAGGGAAGAGAAGTACTCTTATCCGCATAACCTCCACACTCTATCAGCATACAAGGCCCAGATAAGACCTAGCCTCGAGTATTGCTCACACGTTTGGGGTGCTGCCTCCCCGACTACATTATTTATGCTCGATGCTGTCCAGAGGAGGGTTGTTCGACTGATCGATGACTCTTCTCTAACAGCCAGTCTCGGGGCTCTTTCGCACCGGTGGGCCGTCGGCGATCTAGCTCTCTTCTACCTTTACACCAACGGCCTCTACTCAAAGCTCTCCTTAAGCTTCTGCCAGCGCAGCTGTTTTGGTATAAAAAAAGCTGCCAGTCACATCTTGGGAGACATCCAGAAAAATATCACATTCAGTCTTGTTTCAAGTACCATCTCTCAATCAAGTACAAAATATTCAAAATATGTTTTTGATTGCCTTGAAATCATATAATTGCATTTCAGATAAAAAAATAACTGTTACAGGTGCGAGCTTTTGCGTCCGGATAAAAACTTAGTTCATTATACTTTTAAGTCAGTGACAAAACCTACCGAGTGACGTACGTATACGTTCAAATCGACCACTACTCGGCTTATACGTGTCCCAAGTTTTTTTTTTCTGTAAGAATAATTACTAACATGCTCGCGTTTGACTCAATTTTGGAACTTACTTTTTACAAGAGTAATATACCATGATCTGTTAAGTTTACTACAGCGTATCAAAGTCAAACGTGAGAACACGTTTTCATAAAAAATTAGACTAATAATGTTTATATGGGTGTGATTGTGGATAGTAATAATGAACCTGGCCGAATAAAGTTAATATTTATAGAAATCATACGAGATTCCCTTCATAAAAAAATTAGACGCTGAAAATATCAAACTATGAACTGAAGCAAAATGTTGCCAGTAGGTCATGGCGTGACCAATTTGCAGCTACTTGATTATCCTTCATTGTCTGGACATCCTGTATACACATTTCAAGCTGTGAACAAAGCTGAAGTTGAAATTAGATTAATACAAATAAAAAAATTCAAAATATTTATTTCGTCATGAATAAACATTATAAACAAAGGAAATTCTACATATAGAGCAACGACGAAAAAGGACAGTTTCTCGATTATAAAACCGATACATTGGACCCTTTAATACAAAGAGTCCATGCGAGAAAGAAAAAATGGGAGCTGAGTAGTATAAAATGGTGACAAATTCCTACATACAATATCTAACTGAAGCTCTTCCGTTAGATCACCATAACGCCTAAACAGTCAGATAATCAATAATACCCTCCCATGTATCTTGTATTCTCTCTAAGATTTCTTTAAAAAGTTTAGCAAGAAAATCAGGAGGTTCAAAATGGCGTTTTAACAAATCAGCTAAGCTTTCCCAATCAGTGACTCTATTTCGGTTTTCTCTGAACCAGTTTAAGGCTTTCCCAGTGAAAAGATCTATAGCCGAGCCAAACAACTGTTTTTCAATAACGCCCTGTAAGAAGTGTTTTGACAACATTGTCACATTTGCGAGCTATAACTTTTCAGAGAATTGTTGGCGAGAAAAAGTTTTTAAAAGATGGAAGTTGACCCAGGAGGATCAACAGACGACGCAGTTCCACATACTATGAGGAAAGAGCTGAGCGGTGGCGGAAACCGAGCAGAATCAGAAAACATGAGCTCACTGACGCAGATGTCATCGGAGCAGAAAACGAACGAAAAACTGATGCTGATTATAGACGACCAGGCGAGGCAGATTCGAGACCTAATGGAGACCATCAAGGACCAGACAGCCAAAATTGACAGCCTGACCGCCCAGGTAACCATATTACTAAATTCAAAAGAATCCCCTAAAGAACAGACAAAGACCCTAAAAAGACCACTGAGAAACGTTACTGATGATCATCTCACATCCACAGACGAAGACGTACAGATCTACGGATTTGTGAAAGCAAAATCAAGAAGGAGGAAAGGCAACAAGGCTGATCGGTCAACCCAAGACTTTCCTCCTCTTCCGAATACAGGATCAATTCCATTTCACACCTCCCCCAATTCATCAAATCGAACCACTATTAATGCTTCTACTACCAAGCCAGGGACCACGTTATCTACCTGTCAGGTGACTCCGTCAGCCGATGTTACTTCTCCTCCGTCATCTCGTCCAACTGTCATGGCATCAACACAACCCTCACGACAAGGGCGCATAACCCCGATCGTCTTACGCGACGGGACGAGATGGCGTACTTTAAATTTCAAGTTTATTTCCCTAGGTATTAAAATAGATCGCGCGGTTGTCGTTGATGCGGGAATAAGGATTATTCCTAAATCCGAGGACGACTACCGTAACATCGTTCGCCTATTCCGAGAGGAAGAAGTGCTCCATCACACTTTTCCTCTCCCTTCGGAACGGAACATCCATGCGGTGGTTCGAGGAGTTCCCGTCAACTTTTCGGATACTGAAATTAAGGGAGAACTGGAGCAGAGGGGATATAGCCCTCATCACATCATTCGATTGAAGCGCAGCTGCGGCGCGCCCATGCCTTTGGTGGTCGTGATACTGCCCAAGATTGAAAAGTCTCAGCAAGTGTTCAACGAACACGAACTGCTGGGACTGGCCATTCAAGTTGAGGTTCAGAAAAACTCCAGACTCATTGGGCAGTGTCACCGCTGCCAAAAGTATGGCCATGCGCAGTCATATTGCACTGCACCGCCCAAATGCTTAAAATCTGCAAAGGACCACATGACGCATTTGTGCCCCCTCACAGAAGAGGAAGAACGCAAGTGCGCGAACAATGGAGAGGGACATCCCGCAAATAGCCGGACTTGCAAATTCACTCCAAGGAGGAACTTGCAAGTTATAGCGCAAAGGCTCAATATATCATACGCGGACGCAGCTCGGGAGGCAACATTGCCTGCCCCCTCTGCCCAACCTCCCTCGAGCACCCAAAATGTGGACCTGGCAACCGCGCTAAGGTCCTTACAACAAATAATAAGCCTACTGATTAGCGCTACCCAAGCGTTGCAGGTGATCTTTCCTGTAAATGTCTAGGTACAATAGTAGACAGCCTGCATTCATCAAAATTCTTTTTTGGAATTGTTTGGGCATGAGGGATATTCCCAAAAAACGGGAATTTCATCAAGCTCTTTTGGATGAAGGTATAGATGTGGTCTTGCTGCAGGAAACGTTGCTTAATCCGGGAGATCGTTTAGCTCTCCCGAATTATGATATTATCCGAGGTGACAGATTGAATGGTCGAGGCGGCGGTTTAGTAGTGTTGATTAAGCGCGGTATAGACTATTATAGAAGCACTAATGCGGAGATGCATAGCATCGAAGCAGCTTCTGTGGTGGTCAATATGGCGGGAGGTGTCTCGTTGAGGATCACATCGGTGTATGTCAGGTGTGGTGCCAGGCTACAAGAGGCGGATCTGGAGGTCCTTTTGGACTACTCGGGTCCGCTTATTGTGGCAGGGGACTTCAACTGCAAACATCGAGCATGGAATTCTAGGTTGAATTCCATTAGTGGGGTTCGATTGTAAAACCATGTGATGCGAAATGGGTACCTTATACATAGCACTGAAGAGCCGACACATCATCCATTCAACCATCTTCAGGCACCAGATGTCATCGATTTCGCGATATCTAAAAACTGTAGATACAGTATCTCTTCTCGAATCTTGTATGATATCTCTAGTGACCATCTACCTGTTGTCTTGGATGTGGGCAATGAGCAAACTTCTGAGGAGGCAGCTCCTCCAAGGAAACGCATTGATTGGGACCTATACAAGTTGCTCCTTAGAGAGTTTCCCAATATCCCGATTATAGATGATGAGTCTGGAATAGATGCCGCTCAAGCGGAGTGGACAAGTTTCATTCAAGCAGCTCTACAGCGTGCAGCTGTATTTCCTGTACAACGACACGGCAGACCTTTTTTGCCTGCGGACATTCGTCAGAAAATCTCTGACAAAAGAGCCGCAATTAAGCAGGCAAAAAGGTCTTGTCATCCTGATGACATTCGTAGGGCTACAAATCTTGTCCATGAAGTGAGAAACGCACTGCACGAACTCCGCAACGAGCAATGGAGCGACTTTCTGGCGGGAATGCTTGATTCAAGTATTCCTCTCTGGAGGGTCGCAAAGTCACTCAGAAACGGAAAGCGAGAACAACTCCCACACATCCACGGTCCTGAAGGCATAGTCTTCTGAACGGAGGATAAGGTCGAGGTTTTCGCTGATGCCATGGAAAAACAGTTCTCTCCCAACTATGATCTCGATAATGACCTCGACGAGGAACAGCACATCGTACGATCCGTCAGGAGATGTTTTAGAGCCAACGGCGTTAGCGGAGGCACTGAATCCTCTTCAGATGACTCTTCTTCAGAAGATTCGTCTGAGGCTCCACATAGCACATTAGCGGAACCCTCCGAGTTTCCACATTGCACACCAGCGGAGTTACTAAGTCATATATACTAACCTTCAATTGAAGTAGCGTGAATACTAACCATTCGTATATAATACGACTGTGAAAAGGGCAGCAAAAAAAAGGTTTTTCCAAAAGAATTTATTACAGACTTGTATTACATATGTTTATTTGGAGTTTCAAAAGAGTGTTAAATGATAAATTATTTATCGGCATCGCATGTTACACAACAACGGGCACGATGTTCTGCGCAAAATGCGCGTCGGCAATGGGTGCAGTATAGTGACGTCATTCGGCGTTTTTTTGAGGGGCAGATATAACAAGTGGTGCGTCTCAGAGCAGGAGGTTCTGTTTGATCGTTCGGAAGTGGCAATCCAATTATATCACTGATTAAGAGCTTGAGTGAGCGTTGTAAAGTTGGCACTCTTAAGCGTTGTTCTAACCATCCTCTTACCCATTCTTCATGCAGTTGATTCATAAAGGCCTTCCTAGTTATTGTCTGTTTACCCCGTTTTTGCAAATTATGGTTATATATTATCCATGCATTAATACTTGCCATATTGAGCATTCCGAAGAACATGCACAAGGGCCATCTGCGAGTTTTTCTCGAACAACTTCTATTTCCACACATTTGATCAAATGCGTCTACCCCTCCTTTTGTCTGGTTGTAATGCAAGATAATCTCGGGTTTTTGGGTATTTTGACAAATTCTGGATCCCTCGTGCATGGTAGACAAGACTAAAACGCTTTTATTCTTTTTAGTTTTGTAGGATAATAAAGTCTTTTGCTGGTCAAAACAGAATAAAGAGCTTCCTACTTCTCTGTTTTGTAGGTTAAGCATTTCAGGAGGAATTTCGCGTTTGTTTTGTCTCAACGTTCCAAGAATCGTTAGGTTATATGGTGGTTTTAATAACTGGTCAGCCAGACTAACAGAAGTAAACCAATTATCCATCGTGATGTTGCGGTTACTTCCATGTACATCTTTAGTCAATTTCTTGACGTAATACTCTGCTAGTGGTACACCGTGAGTGCTGGTGTGTTTTCCAAGGTAAGGCTCTGCATTTAGCATATATTTGGTCCCCACATCACATGTCATCACAATCTTTATTCCATATTTGGAAGGCTTGCTCGGAATGTACATTTTGAATGGACAGCGGCCTCTGAAGCCCAATAATTGCTCATCGATTGTGATGTAATTTCCCGGTTTATAGGAACTGTTGCATTTTGTAATAAATTGATCCCAAATCTCTCTAATAGGCCCGAACTTATCGACAGTTCTTCTTTCGTTACGTGTCGCTTTATCATCAAATCGCAGATTATTGCTTAGAAATTCAAACCTCTCACAACTCATCGTTGCCCTATAATAAGAACCCGATTTCCTCGAGTCAAACATTTCCCTAGTGCTCAAGTGATTGTCTTTTTGGGCACCAGCAAATATAAGCAACCCAATGAGGGCATTCAATTCCTGTCTGGTCGTGGTAGAAACAGTAGATTTAGCCACCTTGTAGTTTTCACATCTTATTGCAATGTGAGCATTTGTGTGCTCCAAAATTTTTCCAAAAATAGATTCGACGAATAAACACTGGAATGCACCTGAAGGACTATCGGCATCGCGTGCCGCCCCAGATGGACCTTGCATCACGTGAACGATGTTTCGTTGGGCAACGCGCTTACGTATGTTGGACACTGTACACCATCGGTGACCGTTTTTGCCCCGCATCCCCTTGTTGAGAATAGTTTCATGTGGTTTATCTCCCAAGTTATGTAGATCTTCATTATCGCTAATATCCTGATTACACTTCCCCCTCTTTCTGTTTGAGAGAAGTTTTCTATATTGGGTCGCTGTGTTGCAATCTCCTGGTCATTTGATACACTTTGTTCATCTTCCAAATTTTGTGCAGCAAGCTGGTCTACTTGGCCATCTCCTTGATCACACTCTACTGGAAAATGTTCCTGTGTTGGCTTCGACCCTCTATTAATTCTTCTCCGCTTTCTATAGTTACATTCATCAGAGTCAGTGCTTTCTCTATCAGATGTTTCGGGCTCATATTCTGATTCAGAAAGACTGAAATCTTCTTCCAAGTTATCCTCAGTTTCTGATCCGCTAGAAAGCCTCCAAAAATCTTCGAGTTCATCATCAGATTTTGGTATTAGGTCTTCTAGTTCCTTCTGAGATAAAGGCCTTATGTCTTCCCACTTCTTGGCCATGCTGTAGTCAACTGAATTCTAAAATAATTCAAAAAATCTTCGTATATGCCCTAAAAAAATTATAACGTAAATACTAAGCTTTCGTAAAAAATACGACGAGGCTTCGATTACACACACGTGCGTTAGGTGAATTACTATGACACTAGTCTGCGCTGGTACAGTACATCAACTGAGGAAGCTACACGTGCGGTCAAAATCTTACGTTGAATACATGGTTGCCAATTCTCAAAAAAGAAAAATGCTTTCGTATATTTTACGAATGGTTAGTATTATAGGGTTAAAGACCTCAAGGTGCGTAAAGCACCTGGGGAGGATCAAATCTCCAACAAGGCGTTGAAGCTGCTCTCGCCGAAAGTCCTGACATACTTGGTGACAATAATCAATGCGACGCTCAAAATCCAGTACTTCCCTGCTGGGTGGAAGACTGCTGAGGACATCATGATTCCAAAGAAGGTGGGTTCGATATTTCCTCAGGATTACCGTCCCATAAGTCTACCGTCAGCTCCTTCTAAGCTCGCCGAAAAGGTGATTTATCGTCACCTTGAGAATTTTTCGTCAAATCTCCATGTGATTCCTGACGTCCAATTCGGTTTTCGGTCCGAGCATAGCACCGAGCTACAGGCAGTCAGGCTGGTGGAGCATGTAACCAGAGGGTTCGCCCTCAGCATGAGTACTGGCATCTTGCTTTTGGATGTCTCAAAAGCCTTTGACAAGGTGTGGTACGTGGGCCTCCTCTATAAACTAATCCAAAAGGGTTTTCCTTTTTGCTTCTAAAATTACTGAAATCCTTTCTTGAAGGAAGGAAGTTTCGGATCAAAATTAACAATGATTTGTCAACATTACGGCCAGTACGGGCCGGAGTTCCTCAGGGTTCGGTCCTAGGACCAATTCTTTATTCGCTTTTCGTCCATGATGTCCCTTCCCCCAGCAGCTGTGAAGTCTACCTCTATGCTGACGACACTGCACTTGTCGCCCAGTCGTGTACTGGTGATCTGGTTCACGATCGGTTGCAGAATGCGGTGGACGAAGTTCTAGAGTGGGCGGAACGGTGGCTGATAAAAACTAATCATTCGAAAACGCAGGCTATTTATTGTACCAAAAAACGTCGCGATCCCCCAGCAGAGGTTTCTGTAGACGGAAATCGTGTACCATGGACAAATTCTGCCAAGTATCTGGGTGTCACCCTTGATAAAAACATGACCTGGCAGAAACATACTGCATCCATAAAAACAAAATTCCAAATTGCGTTTCGGCAACTATATCCTTTGTTATGTAGATCCTCCAAATTGAGTTTGATAAACAAAGTTCGACTATATAAAATGATTATTAGACCAGCCATTACATATGCATGTGCGGCTTGGTGTTTTCTTGCCAAGACACACATGCAAAGTCTTCAAGTACTGCAAAGCAGAACTTTGCGGACAATTTGCAGCGCTCCATGGTATGTCTCAAATGAGACACTACACAGAGACCTTGACATTCCTTACTTGAGGGATTATGTCAAGCTTCAGGCGCAGCAACGTTATAGTCAAGCGGAATCGCACAGCAACCCTCTGTTGCGTGACTTAGTGGACTACACAGTGGAGCAAGTTCGTAAACATTCAAGGCCACGGCTCGCACTGTAATCAAAAGTTATCGTGAATCTTTAGTAAACTCAAAATTACACTCTAACAAAACCGAATAAAAAAATTTGTTTAGTTCACCTCAAAATTAATCCGTGTACCACGTCAAAAAGCCTAGGTGTTTCCTCTTAAACTAAGCATATATGTTTTTCTGTGTTCTTTTCCTTTTTTCTTCTCTTTCCCTTTCTCTTTTTCCTTGACTTTGTCTGGTTTCTGGGCAACCAGGACTGACAGATTCGACTAACGTACATCAGACAGTGACTAATGGGCAAAGGTCCTACGGACCGCCCAGACAAATAAATGACGAATAGTAACTGTTTTTCAGTTACGTTGCGAGCTGACCGTAGTTCATTAACCCTTTCTAAAAAGTTATGGACAGAAAGTTGTTTTACTTCACCGGAAATTTTTAAGTTCCATTTTTCTATGTTTTGAGACTTCGGTGGAACAGTTTGGACAATGGGAGGTCTAGATGAAAAATTCTGCACAGTCGAATTATAGATAGGAGTTCTCTGGCAAGCCATATTTTCATCAGAATTTTGAAAAAGTGTATTTAATTGAGGATCTTGTCTAGACGCCGTCTCTAAAGAATCTAATGCTGCCAAAACATCGATTAAGAGTTCAGTACTTTGAGTTTCATCTTCTACGCTAAGAATTGAATTAGGGATTCGATTAACGCGGTCGAGGAGGTGGACCAACCTAGATTGAGCGGTGAGAAATCTGTTTTGTACGCCCTCCCCTGAAAAGATGTAGTGCGGAACAGTAGCCTGATATGTTACCTGTCCGATATAATATACTGGACTGCAATATGTTGATGTCAACCTGTAACAACATTGCACTTGTGGCCTAATGTCGACCAATATGAAGTAGTTCCTCATTTAGTCACGACTCATAATCAATTAAATCGCAACAACTTCTGCTCAACTACAAAAACCTAACTAGGCCATCATTAAGTTGTTAGAAAGTGACTTGCAGTAACAAGTATCAAGTGTTGTAGTCTCAGTAAACCATATTTTTATCCGATCATGTGTAATGTTTTCTTAGAGTTGTGGGTTTATTTTTATTTACTGTTAACCTCTGTTCCTGAGAAACTAATTCTAATATTTGCGCGCGGATTAGTTCAATTGACATTAACTTAACTGAATGTTATAATTATCTAGCTCATGCTGAACTACGAGCTTTCAGCAGCTGTATGACTTGCATAAGTTTCATGAAAAATGAAAGGTTACTGGAAACAGTGTACTTGAACTCGTCAAAGATAATAACACCTGAGCATAAACTTCAAGCGCAGTATTAAAATGCGAGTCTAGAGTCCTCCGCTTGTTGTAATGCTCTTAATCCGACATAAAAACGGATAAGATAATGAGAATGTTGTTAAACCCGGCTAACTACTCCCATTCTTTTAATCACCTGCTTAGCCGTTCACGAGGGGTTTCTCAAACTACCATAGAATTGATGAGGATGAATTGAAGGAAGTCTGGAAAATAAGGAGGCACTTTGGAGTTCCAGCATCCCAATCTGAAGAAGCTTTTGAACCTTTCCTCTGAGCAGAAATTATCTTAAACTAATATTCCTATCGGGGAATGTTGGATAATTGAGCAACACTCAAGGATTGTGGTGATAAAACTGCGTCACGAGAATTTTTCTATGAGTTCAACATAAATGCCGCTGAAAATTTAATCCCGATCTACTGCAATCGTTGTTTGGAATTTATTGTGCGATTGGAATTAAGATGTTGAAAAACGGGGCCACAAGTTACACATTTTGTGTGAACGCGCAAAAATAGGTAAAAGAATTGATAAAATATATTTGCAATTGTCCACGATTAAAGGTGCAATAGATTTGATCACTGGAGTTCAAAAACTCTTCCATCTGATTAAATAGTACAATTAATTATGCAAAGTGCTATAATCAGACACAGAAGAGGATTCAAAACGCGTTTCACTTTGATCCAACCATCACCGAGATCGAGGGGATATTCTTAAGATATACATGTCCTAGCATGAACACAACACTCATAGTGTCCATCTTTCAACTTAATGTCTTGTTTATCATGTCACTGATTACTGGAATTGGCCACTGCGAAAGTGCACAGCAGCTGTTTATTAGAAGTGTAAAGGTCGTCACGTCGACAGGTAAGTCATTGTCGCTTGCTGTCGCTGATTCTAGCGATATACGAACCCAAACAACTAAATTTTAAGATTACTTAAACAAGTACCGAAAACTTTTATTGGTATTATATACAAATTGTGGCATATTTTCAATTGTATCATCTGTTTTCCTTTTTTTAATTTTAATGAAAAAAAACGAACCAAACTTAACAAAAATATATGGCCACTATATATTCGGGCACTAAAAACTTTTACTTAACTAATAACTTGGTACGCCGCCTTTCGCCTTAATAACCGTCTGAATGCTTGGCGGCATGGCCTCAACTAATCCTTGGCAGTTTTCTTGAGGAAATGTATTCCGAATGTCTTGCAATTTCACACGCAGTTCAGGAATTGTTCTCTGAGGAAGGTTTCTCAAATGTTGTTTCATTTTATGCCAGACCGTCTCTAACACATTTAAATCAGAGCTACTAGCACGCCAGTAGAGTACATGTACGTTATGATCCCCAAACCATTTTTGTGTGCTTTTATCAGTGTGACATGATGCGCCGTCCAGCTGATAAAAACAGTTTCCGTCAGGATACAAGTCTACTATGGTAGGTATTTCTCAAGGATTTCTTGATATTTAGCTGCATTCACTGTGCCGTCTATAAAATGAAGACGTCCCATTCCAGTTGCCCCACACCATAATGCATGGTGCGGCAGAGAGGACGGACGTTTTTGGGATGGGTAGTACTCTCCGCCTCCGACTACGAGAGAGGTGGGGAGGGTGCCGTTTGACTCGTGAGATCCTAGACTCTGGGCGCTGAAGAAAGACATTAAACGTAAACAGTGATCAGCACGTGAACAGATCCCTCGAAAGCATCCACGGATATACTCCAGTCACTTTAGGTCTAAACATCCTCGGCAGTGTATTTCTAGTGAATCCACAGACCCTTTTTCGTGTCATCTTGAGACTAGAAAAAGGATGACTGTTAAAATAAGTTACCTTGATCTTTCATGAGCTCCCAGTACAAAACATCATCGATATATTTTTGATGTAGGAACAACAAATTGGTTTAGAAAACATCCACTTTGAACCTAAATTGACTGGAGTAACATCGATCTACAGACAAATTCAAGGTCACTAGCAGTCGTCGGCGCTCTACGAATCTGCACAGGTTTGGACTTGTAAACGTGATTGTAGATGACACGACAGGCATCTAACAGTTAATTCACGCACAGGATTGCATTGCATACACATTACGCATTCAGTAGCGTATACTCGTTT